GTATATATATATAAATTCACACACATAAAATAAAAATGAATCAAACTTTTTAAAGAACAGAATAGAACTAGGGAAGAAGGACATAGAAAGATAAGGAAGCAAATGCACATGCAAGCATCAGATGAAAATGGGGCTAGAGATGAAGATAAAGTCCTGATGAGGTCCTGGTGCCTGCATCCCTCTCTCTGCATTTCAGACAGCTCTCTTTCCTTAGGACAATGTGCCCTATTTATAAACTAGAGACTATTTTCAAAAAAAGTTTTAAAAAAAACTTTTTTAAAAGAAACCAACCCATTACAATAAAGATTATTTAGGCAGAGAAACACTACAGCTGAAAGTAGTTGTAACCTAGTCACTTCATTATATTGTGGCTCACCCCATTCACACCCCGACCCAGGCATCTCCTCAGATCCCGACTCACCGGGAGCCCTCTGCCTTTTGGACAGCTTTGGAAGTCCTACAGCTTCGGGTCCTGTTGTCTGAAGGATCTGAATCAGAAAGAAATTGTTGATAACAAAGCCTATTCGAGGGCCCTTCCTTTGCTTCCAGCTGCATCCCCACTTGTCTTCCTTTTGCTCTCCAGAGAGTAAGGGCATTATTGGCTTTTTGTGTAAGACAGTGACAGCACTAACTGTTACATAAACATGCTGTGGACAGGGGACAAGGCTGGAATGAGAAGTAGGGGCTGAAATCCAACCCACAGTGCACTTGGTGTGTACCCTGCTACTGGGTCCTTTGCACCAAGAGGAAGGGACACCTTTCCCAGATTTGCACACAGGCCCTGTGCAGGCTAAAAGCAGTTAGTGGTTAGAGTCCCAGGCTAGACTCATTCCCAAGGGAAAAAAGTCTTGATGTATTAAATAGTCCCATCTTTAGGAAATGGATCGACCAATGACATAGTTCTTTCTGATAGCTACTAACAACTCATAGGGGAATCCCACATAGCCTCCTCGTGTTTCTTTAAAGGAGTAGGTTTTGATAAGACTCCTCTCTTCCTGAGCCTAAACCTCAAGAAATGCTATTAAAAGCACACACACAAAGCAGAAACATAGCCAGCATGGATGCTACCCCCTCAGTGGGTCACTTGCTGAATCAGTTACTGGTAGATTAAATGTGAGTAAGACTCTTTCCAGCACAGGAACTGGAGAGGTGGGGTGGGCATGAGGCTTCTCACAAGTCCTTCCAGTGTGTTTTCTTACCACCACTAGGCTCTAGACAGTGACAGGAAAGCACATTGCTTCTCAAAATAGGAACCATGAGAGAACAGACCATGTCTTCCACAGCTCTCTGCCTGAAAGACCGGGGCCTTACAGATGCTAGAGAATTTCCCAGCCTCCAGAGACGGCACCTATGAACACTGAGAGATCCCAAGAATTAGCTCCAGCTAAAAATCACAGATATTTGGCTTACAAAGACTTCTCCCTCTGTTTCTAGTCCCTCCCAGTAGCCTTCAAGGGTTAAATACAATCTACATTAGTAAAAATCCTTCAAGCTGTACAGTTACAAGAGACCCAAGTCTCTTTTTACAGCCTCACTCACTACTTCTTTTTTTTGTTTGTTTGTTTTGTTTTGTTTTTCGAGACAGGGTTTCTCTGTGTAGTACTGACTGTCTTGGAACTCACTCTGTAGACCAAGTGCTGGGATTAAAGGCATGTATCACCACTGCCCAGCTCTCAGCTCTCACTCACTTCTTTTTTTTGTTTGTTTTGTTTTTGTTTTTTGTTTTTTGAAACAGGGTTTCTCTGTGTAGTTAGTCCTGGCTGTCCTGGAACTCACTCTGTAGACAGTCTGGCCTCGAACTCATAAATCTGCCTGCCTCTGCCTCCCAAGTGCTGGGATTAAAGGTGTGCACCACCACCACCTAGCCTCTCACTCACTTCTTAAGGAGCCATCTCCCCCAGCACTTGGGAGGCAGAGGCAGGCGGATTTCTGAGTTCCAGGCCAGCCTGGTCTACAGAGTGAGTTCTAGGACAGCATGGGCTATAAGGAGAAACCCTGTCTTGAAAAACCAAAAAAAAAAAAAAAAAAGGAGCCATCTCCAAGGTTCTAGACCTTCAAGGCTGAGCTTTCAAGACCGCCTCAATGCTGTGACCATCAATACAAAGATCTCAGGTCTATGAGACCTTCTAACCTCTTCCAAGGTCTGTTAGCCAAGATGCTGTGAGGAAAGGAGCAAGGTGCTGTGAGCATACCTAGCATGTAGACACTCTTCTTTTACAAAAGAGTGTCTTACCCTACAAGATTCTACCTAAACCCCAGCTCCATCAACTTAGGAGGATCAAGATCCAGTTTACCTCAAATAATACAAGAGGAACTTTAGTAGCCACTTCCTTCAGTGAGAGTTTTCGTTGTTTGTTTTGGTTTTTGTCTGGTTTTGTTTTTAGTTTTGTTTTGATACAAGGTCTCACTTTATAGCTCTGGCTGGCTTGGAACTCACTTATGTAGACCATGCTGGCCTCCAACATCCAGAGATTCACCTGCCACTGCCTTCTAAATATTGGGATTAAAGGTGTACACTACCAGACCCTGAATCCTTCAGTGAGTTTTTACCACCTCAACAAACACCCATTGCCCTTCAAAGATTCCCTTGCCTGTCTCTTTACCAGGTGAAAAGCCATTGGCCCGGTCTTCTCTGTTGTCAGTCACAATCAGTTGTGTAAAATCCATGTCATCTCTGGCAAAGTCCCGCTGGATACCACACCAGTACCAGCCTGTATCCTCCTTGACCAGGCAGGACACAGTGATGATGAGTTGGTTTCCTGTGTCCTTCAGGGCCACACGGTTGGTGCTATTAGGGGTGAAGGCGATAATGTTGCACGACTCCCTGAAATAGCCACGGCACCAGTATTTGGTGTGGTCCTTGTAGTGCGCATCATAGTTACAGATTGCAGAAGCAGTGTCCAGCTCAACGCCTGATTTCACCTTTTCATCCATGACCATGGCATCTGTGAACAAATAAACACACACACACACACACACACACACACACATGGTGCTCATTATTCTTGAAGACACACCAAATCTCTCCAAATATCTCCTGGGTCATTGAAGATAGTTCATTGGAATTTGGATTTTGTTCATTTATAAATGGTCAG